TACAGATATATTTGTGTGTTATATCCTTTCAATGTCTTGTGTGAGGTACAAGGACCAGTTTTATGAAAGCACCCTTTACTGTCATAACAATACATATTGTTACATTATTATATACATTTAAGTCCGGCTTTCAGAAATTCTGAGTACTTTCATTAATGGTATTACCTTTCAAGGCATGTTTCAGGTAGAACCTCAGCAAAACAGCTGTCAAACCACATTGGTAAGGGGAGAGAATCCCAAAGGGAGTGTTTCTGAAAATGGTCAAACAATTTACCATCTCCATCCTCAGTTTTGAGACTCTGCGTTGTTTTCTGGACCTTTTAGAAAATTTAAACAATTTTTTTAATTGATAAACTGAATAAAATCATTTTTATTAAGTTCATATAGATCTATACAGGTATTTAAATTTACATGCAATAAAATGTGACTTGCAGTATTCCAGTATACACATGTTTATTCAAACATACCTTGATAATAATGTAAGTGGTGGAAAAACTTACCAGATTGGAATTACTATCTTTGGATTTCTTGTACATTTTGTAAAATTCAACAGAAATAAGGTAGGCATCAGTTAGATCTTCACAAATATTTGCCATTGTTGCTGCTATTGAAACAAAATCCTCATACTCTGAATCATACTGAATAAAAAGCATATCAATCATTAAGAATGTAGTACAAAAGTGAAAATCTTATTAAAATTTCAAAATAGAATAAAAAGTCCTGTTCTTCTTTAAAAAAAAAAAAAAAAAAATCCACCTCGAGCAAATGTGTAAAAAAAATGTATATTTCATATATTGGAGGTCCACAAACTGTAACTGTACAATAAATTATTCCTATACAAATTCAATTTAATTTAACTGCATGTACATTGTGTATATTGAAACATTGTTATTTTGCATGCGTGTAAATCTTATTAACGAAATATCCAGATAACTTAAAGAGACCTTTTGGATAAAAAAAAATGCTTCCAGATCACAGGCCTTTGGATCTCTTAAATCAGACTTTTAAAAAAATGGGTGTATGAAAAAGATTTTTTAACACGTACCTATTTTTTTGTCAGCTATCTAAAGGCCTGTAATCCAGATTAAGAAGGCACCAATGTACATGTACATTGAGAGGGGTTGTCCTCAAGACCTAGGAGCCTGGAAATTTTCCTGCCTTTGATGAGATAACCCCCTACCCCCAAGGTATTCCCCCTCATCCCCCCGTTTAGGGAGGAATCCCCAACGCCCCCTGCTATTTCTATTCTAAGGGAGAACCCTGATTGAGTAATAAATAACTGTTCAATAATAATATACCTTGTACTGCTCAAATTTAATCTGGCCAGACTCCACAAGGTACATTTTGAGGAAGACTTTACCTACAGGTGTGTTTTCATCAACATATCGTAATAGCTTTACTGCGTGATTTAAGTCATTGTATTTTTGTTTCCGTTGCTGCATCAGAAATTCATGAGAGTCTGAATTTGCACACAAAACATCTGAAATAGGAAGAAAACAAAAGGTCTAAGAAGCTATTCAGTATTGCATTGTTAACATTATACTGATGACAATTCAACAAGATGATTATCTTGTTGACATATTGTTAATATATATATACGGTGTTAATAAATCCGTATTATTATCTAAACAGTGAATAAAATTTTTGTAATCTCATGTTTTATCTAAAAATTTCACCTAAAACTAGATTGATATGCATTTACATGCAACTTACATGGCCATTTCAAATTACGACAGTACTTGTCATTCAATTATTTTAATTATCACGCTTTACTTTAATTCATATCAGCAGATAATAACCTGTGTTTGTTCAAAAGCTGTTTTGATAGCCAACACGACATGTTTTATCAATCAAAACACGTGGGCCATGGGTTATAATTCCGTCTTCTTAATGTTACCACGTGTATTTGTTACCTGCATTATCATGCGTATTGCTTTTATTCCACATTTTGGATTAAAAGAATCCTTCAAATAAATATCGAACTTACTAAAGATGTGGAAGGATATTATTTTGTCGAACTACATTAACACATACATTTCCGTATATACGCGTATTTGTATTGAAGATCTTGGGTGCACATGCACTCATCGTAAGAGCATCTATGAAAGTCATATGACGTTTATTAGAAGAACTTTAATAACTGCATTTGTTTTAATTAAATCTAACAATTTTATATCAACCTACCCTGTTGTTTTTGAAATAAAGACATAACAATTAATGTCGTTTACATTTAGCTATGGTATGGATAATCTGGATATAGACAAGGGAGGTAACTTTTAATATATATATCAATTCAGAAATCAAAAACCGCGATCATGTATGATATGCAGAAAATCGTGAAAATAACAACCCGTGAAATTATTCACCTATACAGTATCTTGTTGACATATTTTCTGATATATATTTGTATTCATAAATCATAACAGCTATTATTATCTATAAGGTATCAATTTTTGTAATTCAAGCTTACTAAAAGAACTCACCTAAAACTAATTTCCAAACATAATGTCTGTACATTGCTGGCATTGCAAATCTCAGACAAAACTGTCTTAGCTTTTCCACACTTATTGGTTTTTCCTTTAGAAAAGTCTCTAATGATTTTCTCTCCTCCACTCCACCAATTCCAAATTTATCATAATAGTAATGCTTGAAAATTTCTCTCATCAGACATAATTATATAATTCTGTCTTCTTCAATGGCAAAACATTTAGGCCATTTTGTAACCCATCATACATCCATCATATTGACTCGTAGATTAAGCAAATCTTCCGAGAAGAAAGATGAAATACATGCATTGTTTAACAGATTAATAAACAATTATAATTCAAAGATAAAAAAATATTTGATTTGTATATACATGTACATAAATTCATTACTGTAACAATGTGTTATTTTATTAGATAGAATGTTCTATCGTTAAAAGTAAAGCTACATATTTACGACCCTGAGAGCTTTTTTATTTTTAAAACTTACATGTCCATACAATATACATTGAAATTTGCTAAATGTTGAAATATTAGTCCATTTTATATTTTTTTCTTAGAAATCAAATAGGAAACTGTGAGATGCATGATAAGAAGTTTGTTAAAATTTTGTGTAACTCCTCGGATTTGTCTTTCGTAAGTTGGTCAACTTTGTTGTACCAGAGACATAGAAATGTCGAATCTACCTCGACTCCTAAGATTACCTTCTGTCGTAAGATGCTTCAGAAACTTTCCAAGATATTCAAGTTCAGCGTCTGGAAACAGTCTCTAATGCCGGAATTTATACCTGTTCCTCTCTACGCAGAGCGACATGGAGAAAACATTGAAGTGAGGAAAGCTCGACTACTCTACCAGAGCAGAAAGAGAGGAATGCTTGAAAATGGTCTTCTTTTAAGTACATTTGCTTCGAAATATTTAATTATGCAGCACCAGGTTGAATTTGCAAACTTATTAACAAACCAAGTAATGACTGGAAATTTATTACAAACGGGAAATAAGCCCACACCAGAGGAATATCAAAGTGAAATAATGGACATGTTAAGGAGCACGCTAGAAAGGGACAGGGATTGTAGAATCACCCAGCCACCATTATTTACTTGATCTGACACAATTTTAACTGTGTTTAGTGACTTGAGCATGTTGGTTTTATAAGCATGATAAGTTATTTTTAAATTGTAATGTTTTGCTTTAAATGCCTATTTCATCATTATGAATTAAAATATAAAACATGTAAAATGCATTAAAAGTTTGTTTTTTTGTGTAATTCCTTTCTTCAAACACAGTCAAATTGTATTATGAATGTTAAATATATTTTATATAAAACATCCTCATTTAATTGACTTTCTGGACTTGCATCCACTTGAGAATGTGGTAAAACAGGAAAGTACTTGCAGACTTTACCATAGTTCAATGTGAAAAGATGAACGACGCGCGATGGTTTCCAAGCAGTAGTTAATATGCAACTGGGGAATTTTGCATATGATTGACAAATTTATGTAACTTTCCATTACAAACATTAAGGGTATTGTTGTTGTCCACGAGCACTTACAAGTGGTATTTTTCAAATAATTATTTTATGAGTATGTGATGTAAAGTCAAGGGTTATAAAGTAAAATGAATTGAAATGAAAGACCCTGCCTCGAAATTGTCAAATTAGATTTAACTTTGCCCAAAAAAAAAAGTATTTTTCGATGAAAAGTCATTATTCAAAGTAAATATATAATGACTCTCATTAGTGACAATACATGTATTGACTTTCTGGACTTTAGTCACTTTACAATTTACGACTTCCAAAACGACTTTTAACTCAGTCGTTATTACGTCTTTTACAATTTTATCTTTTCATTTTACTAATATGATCCTTACTGGCTTTAATCATGTGTTAATAGTTAATCATTAACTTTGTGGATAATGTTTTTCAAAAGTTCTTCATCAGAGATAGCTTGGGGGGGGGGGTTAATCGATAAAGTATTTTTTTTATCAGTCATTAATTTTTAATTACATGAATATTTATTTCTGATTGAATTTGTATGTGTTATTATAAATCTTTAAAATGCGTGTTTATATTAAAAAATAAGACTGAGCTATTTTAAATATTTTAAATCAGTCCTAGTTTGAACATTCCCAAAAGAACTATCATTCTATGTCCTTCTTAAGAACTCTTAAGATCATCAAGTTTTGTCCTTAAGACATATCTAAATTAATATATTAGGAATATACCGACATCATCCATACACTTGTTAACAAAATAAACTCTTACGTGCCGGGTTTTCATATATCTAGTTTTACCGAATTCAAGATGGATGCCCAAGTTGGCGCAAAATTTGACATTATGAAATCTTGTTCGAGAAATTGTTATTTTACGATATCAAAATAGCAAAATTACATGAAAAAGCAAGTGCTGTTTTAGCAGTATTCGAGTAACTTAAAAAAGTTTACATCTGTATCTAAAAGAATGTAACACAAGAGGTAGGTCAAATACAAATATAAAACGTGAACTAATGGGACAGTGATGTATTTGTGAACGCAAAGGAACCATCATAAAGCCCCTCCATGTTTGCTGCCAGCGATGGAAGCGATCAAGATATGTCCACAGATTCCAACACATCAATACTTCCCCAGATCCCGATGGACTCGGTTCAAAGTTCACCTATTCGAGGCGGGGTATCACAACAGAATCGGAGATCCCCGACATCCCCTTCTAGCTCAAGAAATCAACAGACATTGGAGGGTTTCTTCATCGGGAGGCGACAGAGTGGAGGGGGTGATAACAGACCCTCGGTTAATCTTAGCTCAGCTCCTCCTTTACCTGTGTTCAGCATACCTGAAGAATCAGGTGTGCCAAGGGCAGTAGTAAGGCCAGTGGTAAGTTGCTTGTAGGTAATTAGTTACGTCATGTACCACAGGAGTTACAATAGCTACGCATAGCTCATCCGGCATGGCTTGGTCAAACGAGTGATTTCCATTGACTTTATTGATAAAATTGCAAACTTTACACATTAGAACACTAGAACAGATTGAAGGGATGATGTATTAAATACAATGAAAAACTTCAAAGTTTACTTCAAAAGATAAAATTAAATGCTCTATAAATATGTCTGAAGTGAAGAGTTGGTAACTAAATGAAAATAATGTCTATTGATTTAGGTTCCTGGAGAGGAAAATGTGGACAATACTGGGGACAGATCACCTGAAGTTATATCTAGTGAAGAGGAAGATTCAAGATCGTCATACCAAGATGTGGTATCATCACCTATGCCTGCATATAAAGAGATTTTATAATATTCTACAAAATGTCAATTATTTTCTTTTATTTAGGAGATATATTTTTAATTAGAAATAAAATCTTTGCTGTCAATCTTCAACAAGGTTCTAATCTAAAGCTCTCATATATAAAACAAATAATAGATCAATGCAAGTCAAAGAAATGAAAAGAGGAAAAGAATAAAATATTTTGAATAACAAACATATATACAATTAAAATTTTTAGGAAATTCTTTCTAACCCTGAGGAGGAAAATTCCAATTCATCCCAAGAAAACCATCCATCAGTGGAAAATCCAGAACAAGCAGGACCATCTGGTGACCAGGACACTGTACAGCAATCTGCCCAGGGCCAACAAACCACGGCACCTGTCCCAGCAGCTAATGTACTATCAATACAGGCAACCACCAGCTCTCCATCAGATTTCAGAACTCCTAAACGAAGGAGGGTAATGTCGACTCCAGAAAAACCAGGGGGAGCAACAGGTGGACCAGAGGATGACACCGAAGATGGAAATGTGAGAGGATTACAAAGTTAAAATTTAGTGTTATTATTATGCACTTTTTAGAAATCACTATTTGAAGAACTCCCATAAAATTCTTTTACAATGTAGAAATTTTCAGGTATTTTAGATTCAGATGAAATGCCTGCATTTTATTTAAAGCCATACAAGTTAAGAAATTTATTTACCTGTAAAATGTTTGTGTTTATAAGAGACCAATACCATTGAATTTTATTTCGTATTAAAAGGAAGAGGTAAAATAATAAAAATAATTGTTCATAATCATATATTTTAGTGTTGCCCTATCTGCTTTGAAGAATGGTCAACTTCAGGATCTCACAGACTAGCATCTCTGAAATGTGGTCACTTGTTTGGACAAAGGTGACTTTGCATGTGTTATCAATAATCATGGTAAAATTTATTAGCAAATACATTTTCTAATCATTTCTGTAATATTGAAATGACAACTTGGTTTATTTTAGCTGTATAGAGAAGTGGTTGAAAGGTCAAGGTGGAAAATGTCCGCAGTGTAACTGTAAAGCCAAAAGACAAGACATAAGAGTCCTGTATGCCAAGTCACTAAAGGTAATGCAAAAAAAATAATTCTCACTTCGTTCGTCCGAATATAAATTAAGTGCTAAATAATCAACAAACATGTGTCGTAAACAGGATGCTGCGCGCTAGCTTTTTATTTTCAATATACAATATTCTCTCGATCCAGAAATACTATATATGATGACCATCAAGCGAAAACCACCCTTATGTGCATTATGACGTTATCGAGAAAACGAGCGCTAAAGTTGACGTCATAAATATTTGCCGAATTTTGCAAATAAGTGCAGTGTGAAGACGCATCAATAATTATAATATTTCTTCATACAGTAAATGCTTATACTTAACAACATAATAAGTAGTCGTAAATATAATAACAAATCCACTGGTTAGTATGAAAAAAAATGATTTACATCAAACTGAAGGTGAAAATCCTTTGAAGTAGCGAATACCACGGTCTTCGCTTTTATTTTCATTTTCGAGGAATATTTTCTTTTTACTTCTAAAACACAAATATGGGGGAGAAATCGCATATTATCTTTTGACTAGAGCAGCAACAAAATGGACGTAGATCTACTCTTATTCAACATTATTTTTGTCACTATTAATTGATATTTTTTATATTTATGATAAAAAGCATAGAAAGCCTAATCAAAGTGTAAAGCCAAGGCGTTGGATTTCATACAAAGGTGTGTAAGTTTATTGCAAACTAAACAGCGTTATGTACCAAAAATCAAAAACAAGCTTCAAGAAATGGGGAGGCGGGTCACACAAATATAATTTATCAGTATATAATTGAAGTTGGATAACAAAGCCCTCAGTACAATTTCACCGGAAAAATATACATGTACTTGACTATGACAAATGAAAAAGTTCGTTTTGTTTTGCTATGAAAAAGTTCGTTTTGTTTACTTTTTAGCTCACCTGAGCCGAAGGCTCAAGTGAGCTTTTCTGATCACATTTTGTCCGTCGTCCGTCCGTCTGTCCGTCCGTCTGTCCGTCTGTCTGTCCGTCTGTAAACTTTTCATATTTTCGACTTCTTCTCAAGAACCACTGGGCCAATTTTGACCAAACTTGGTACAAAGCATCCTTGGGTAAAGGGGAATTTAAATTGTTAAAATGAAGGGACATATCCCCTCGCAAGGGGAGATAATCAAGAAAAGACAAAAATAGGGTGGGGTCATTAAAAAATCTTCTTCTCAAGAACCACTGGGCCAGTAAAGCTGAAACTTATGTGGAAGCATTCTGGGGTAGTGTAGATTCTAAATTGTTCAAATCATGACCCCCGGGGGAAGGGCGGGGCCACAATGGGGAATCAAAGTTTTATATAAAAATATATAGGAAAAATCTTTAAAAATCTTCTTCTCAAGAACCACTGGGCCAGAAAAGCTGAAACTTATGTGGAAGCATCCTGGTATGGTGTAGATTCTAAATTGTTCAAATCATGACCCCCGAGGGAAGGGCGGGGCCACAATGGGGAATCAAAGTTTTATATAGAAATATATAGGAAAAATCTTTGAAAATCTTCTTCTCAAGAACCACTGGGTCAGAAAAGCTGAAACTTATGTGGAAGCATCCTGGTATAGTGTAGATTCTAAATTGTTCAAATCATGACCCCCAGGGGAAGGGCAGGGCCACAATGGGGTATCAAAGTTTTACATAGAAATATATAGGAAAAATCTATGAAAATCTTCTTCTCAAGAACCATTGGGCCAGTAAAGCTGAAACTTATGTGGAAGCATCCTGGTATAATGTAGATCCTAAATTGTTCAAATCATGACCCCCGGGGGAAGGGCGGGGCCACAATGGGGTATCAAAGTTTTATATAGAAATATATAGGAAAAATCTTTGAAAATCTTCTTCTCAAGAACCACTGGGCCAGAAAAGCTGAAACTTATATGGAAGCATCCTGGTATAGTGTAGATTCTAAATTGTTCAAATCATGACCCCCGGGGGATGGGCGGGGCCACAATGGGGTATCAAAGTTTTACATAGAAATATATAGGAAAAATCTTTGAAAATCTTCTTCTCAAGAACCACTGGGCCAGAAAAGCTGAAATTTATGTGGAAGCATCCTGGTATAATGTAGATTCTAAATTGTTCAAATAATGACCCCGGGGGGTGGGTGGGGCCACAATGGGGAATCAAAGTTTTATATAGAAATATATAGGAAAAATCTTTGAAAATTTTCTTCTCAAGAACCACTGGGCCAGAAAAGCTTAAACTTATGTGGAAGCATCCTGGTACAGTGTTGATTCTAAATTGTTCAAATCATGACCCCCAGGGGAAGGGCGGGGCCACAATGGGGTATCAAAGTTTTACATAGAAATATATAGGAAAAATCTTTGAAAATCTTCTTCTCAAGAACCATTGGGCCAGTAAAGCTGAAACTTATGTGGAAGCATCCTGGTATAATGTAGATCCTAAATTGTTCAAATCATGACCCCCGGGGGAAGGGCGGGGCCACAATGGGGTATCAAAGTTTTATATAGAAATATATAGGAAAAATCTTTGAAAATCTTCTTCTCAAGAACCACTGGGCCAGAAAAGCTGAAACTTATATGAAAGCATCCTGGTATAGTGTTGATTCTAAATTATTCAAATCATGACCCCCGGGGGAAGGGCGGGGCCACAATGGGGAATCAAAGTTTTATATAGAAATATATAGGAAAAATCTTTGAAAATCTTCTTCTCAAGAACCACTGGGCCAGAAAAGCTGAAACTTATGTGGAAGCATCCTGGTATAATGTAGATTCTAAATTGTTCAAATAATGACCCCGGGGGGTGGGTGGGGCCACAATGGGGAATCAAAGTTTTATATAGAAATATATAGGAAAAATCTTTGAAAATCTTCTTCTCAAGAACCACTGGGCCAGAAAAGCTGAAACTTATGTGGAAGCATCCTGGTATAGTGTTGATTCTAAAATGTTCAAATCATGACCCCCAGGGGAAGGGCGGGGCCACAATGGGGTATCAAATTTTTACATAGAAATATATAGGAAAAATCTTCTTCTCAAGAACCACTGGGTCAGAAAAGCTGAAACTTATGTGGAAGCATCCTGGTATAATGTAGATTCTAAATTGTTCAAATAATGACACCCGGGGGAAGGGCGGGGCCACAATGGGGAATCAAAGTTTTATATAGAAATATATAGGAAAAATCTTTGAAAATTTTCTTCTCAAGAACCACTTGGCCAGAAAAAGTGAAGCTTATGTGGAAGCATTCTGGGGTAGTGTAAATTCTAAATTTTAGGAATCATGACCCCCGGGGGAAGGGCGGGGCCATTATAGGGAATCAAAGTTTTACATAGAAATATATAGGAAAGATCTTTGAAAATCTTCTTTCAGGAACACTGGGCCAAAAAAGCTGAAACATATGTGCCCATGGAAGGATCATGGGGTAGTGTAGATTTCAAAATGTCTAAATTATGATCAGTGGGGTAGGGTGGGGATGCATTATGTATAACAAGGGTGAAATCTGGTAAAGAACAGAATGGTCAAAGCTTCTCAGGTGAGCGATGTGGCCCCTGGGCCTCTTGTTTATTCCATGTAAAGAACCCCCCCCCCCCCTAAAAAAGAAATAAAATATAAATCGCTTCCTATGTGTCTGAAATAATCTACATGTACAAATACCGCAAATGAAGGGAAGTAACCTGCATTATATTTATTTATTGTTACCTGGCAACAGGAAGCGTTCAGTGTTCACACTTCCTTCAAAGATTTTTCGGTATCTGTGTATATCTTATTTGCATGTTTTTGATATTAATTTAGAGGGGAAAGTAGGAACTGTTAATTGTTCATTCTATTTTATATTTGCTAAAATGAGTTAAAAAAACAAATTGATGTAATATTTTTTTTATTTATAAATTATAATGCAACATTATGAATCCCTTGATCAGTTAATCAAAGACGAATGCAGCCAACATGTTTTAGGAAAAGATGAGAAATCATCATGAAAATGAAATCCTTTAATCTCTAAATTATGTTGTATCCTAGTACTACATGGTTTGGGGTGGGTATAAGCAACTTATACTTAGATTAGGTTATAGAAATTAAAATAATTAAATTGATTCAAATAAAACTTGAAAATGATGAAATACCGGTATTTAGCATGTGGCTAATACTGTAATACACGTAACTCTATAATTAAGCTATTATTTTTAATGTGTCATTTAATCAACCAATCAAACCACAATTACACAACTGTACGTTTTTAAAAGGGGGCAGCCAGAGAAAAAAATAACTTACCTGAAATAATGTTAACAAGCAAAATGTTCAAACTCAAATCCTATTTCGTGCCGGGGGGGGGGGGATAAGCCATCAGGAAGTAGACATTAACACCATATTCAAGGCTGTTTTTACAACCCATTGCACCCCTATCAACAGAATTACGACAGGTGCATTATGCACGGGACTATTCTTATGAGATTTCGATTCTGCTCCACGTGCATGTACATGTATGACAAGTTGACGTGCAGTATTTTCGGTGTACATATTTGGCCATGTTTGGTATACTTGGTACATGTACATACTATTAGTATAATGCTCTCTCTCTCCTTCTCTCTCTCTCAAAAGGATTTGTTTTTCTGATTTTTGCACAAATTGTCTCACGTCTTATGTCGGTCAAAAGCTCTACAGAGCTTATGTTTCTGTTATAAAAATCCGACTCAAAATAAAAATTTTCTGATTCTGAATTTTCTGATTCTGTCACTCTCGATCCGCATTCATGTCCAGAATTTATGTGCGAGGATCGTATATTTTGCTCATTGTTTTCGAAGGTGTATTTCAGGGAAACTTTTAGATTCTCTAGGCGAAATCAGGTGTTATTTAAAAGTGTACTTGGGACAATGCTTCATGTATCATTTCTTTTCAACAGATATAAAAACAAATGTCACGCCAGGTGCACGAAACGCGTGCTTACAAGAGAAAGCAGCCATTACCCATCACTCTAAATTTAACGTTTTAAAAACTTTATCCTGTGCGGAATTATCATCCTGAAAAATATTTTTCTTTTATTAAAAAAAAATATGGACCCTAGCCACACTGCAAATTACAAATTCACTCCTGGTAATGCATTTTTATATGCATAGCTGAAACAAATACGCATGATGGTAATGTTTTAATTGTCTTAATTTTAGAAAAAATTGTCGTCTATTAAATAAGCAGGAAAAAACACATAGTCAATTATTTTCAAAGAATTAATTCTTTTTTACCTAAAAGAGACATTCATTCATCATGGAGACTTGCTATCAGTCAAAAATTTTACTTCATATGCAAGCCCTGTACATTGATAAAAGGTGGTGGATGTTGGAATTCCTTTAATAAGTATTATATATAGAGACGGAAAGAAGTTTATTGATTTGTGAACTTGCTTTCCACCACAAAGCGCAACAAATGCGCATTTTCAGAACATAAGAAAGGGGGGGGTTGTCCTTTGAATTACTGGAAGTTTAGTGCCAATTTTAAAGTTTCAGTGGGTATGAATTATATTGCAGCAATGTGTATTATATGCATGTTTAATGCAGTGTCAGAGATGACAATTACTTTGTTAAATATCATGCCATTTGCGTGAGATTAATAGAAAGATGCAATGGAATCTCTGTTCCTCAAACTGCTCCAAAAAAGAATAGATTGATTTGAAAAAAAACCACAAGGACAGAAATTATTTTCGACAAAAGCCTTGATTTAATTTATGTGTGAAATAATATACTTTCTCTCTCATCGCGGGTTCGAATCCCACCGCGGGACGTGGAGACCGGTCCTTCGGATGAGACCGTATAAATCAAGTTCCCGTGTCGCAGTAGGCGCTGGCACGAAAAAGATCCCTACCTGCTCAATGGCCCTCAGGACAGAGTATAATACAAAATGTTTCTCCACCGGAAAGCAGTGGTGTCTCCATATGAGTGAAACTTTCTCGAGAGAGACATTAAACACTATCTAAATTTAGATATCCACAACGTTCATGTATTGTCGATTCGCAACAGTTACTTTCATTCATATGTCGACTCGACATACCATGATCATGCAATTGTTCGAATTGTTCAATCATAAAATGACGAAAAAAAAAACTTCTGAAACAAAAGAGCATTCAAACTATCAATCTGATTTGAACTGTGAACATGTATTTCTTTCTTTTTTTTGGGGGGGGTGGTGGTGGCATAAAAGTCTTTAGTATTAGTTGAATCTGAGTTTTCCGTCGAGATTTTACGAGCATAGACCATATAAACAATAAACCTCCTCCCCTAAAAAGAAAAATAAACTGACAAAAATGATTGTAATAAAAGAAACAAAACATCTGCTGGTGTCTCTTTTTCAAGGTGTTGGGGGTAAAAAAAAAACTGATATTTCTTCTAAAATGCTAAAATTATCGATCTTAAAAAGTGACAATAACAATATAATTAAATAAAAGTCACTTATGTAATGTCATTTGTTGTCCAAGGTGATTTTTTCTTGTGCAATTTTTACAATAAAACCATGGAAATGTGGGAACAAAAAAAAAATTACGTTGTCCGATAAAACACGGCGTCATAACGAAAAATAGTACTTTTTATTTGAAAAATTTCACTAATATTTAGTCTTTGAACAACTACATGTTATATATCATTTGAAAGAGGAGAAAATTGTCTATCAGGATCATTAAATAACTCAAAATGTCAAAATTTTCACTTAAGGGTGGTTTTTGCTTGACGGTCATCATATACATGTCAATTCCAAATTATTTACAGAAGATTCCATTTGTACATTGTCCATTTTTTGCACAAAATGTTCTTATACACAGTGTATGTTATATACCATCTAACTTGATATTCCAAGAACCGAGCGAGCATAGATAAACGCCCACCTCTGCAAACTGATATTTATACCAACAAATCATGTGACCCTAATTTCGAACATGCCACAACTACGGCTGCTTATAAGTATAATATCTGTATGATGCATTGCTTTGTAAGAACTGAATGAAGAGGCCTTTGAACGGGGTAATAAGTGTGTTTAACTTATTTATTGATAGTTAACTTATAAAGTTGGTATATCTGATTTAGGGCTGGGACGATACAACTTTTTCTATATCGATACGTATCACGATATTTGAGCCATGATACGATATGTATCACAATATGTTTAATTGCATATAAAATCCTTTTTTTTTTGCATTGAAATAAACAAATTATTTCTTTGCAAATGAGAATAATTCATTCAAAATAGTTGTTTACATGTTGTAAAACAGAAATATTTTACTCAAATAGTGTTAATTATTATTTATTTCATATCTCTATTTTTATTTAACTTATTTATTTTATATGTTAAACCCCAAATGTTAAATAAACAAAGAAAAATAGAAGTCAGATTTACATGGGCGATATTTTGATATTTCTTCATATGTATCGATATGCGTATCGTCCTCACCTGTATCATGATATATCGATATATCGTCCCAGCCCCAATCTGATTAATGTGTTCATGTTGCATGACTGTTTAGAATATTGCTGTAATTTAAAAAAAATACTGTCTTGACAGGCTGTAGATACAACCGAGCGTGACAGAGCTCTACAAGACCTAGAAAAAGAAAAGGAAGTTCGTCGGAAAGTTGAAATGGAGGCTGCTCAATGTCGCCTGCAGTACCAGATGGCTATAGAGGAATGTAACAGACTAAAGGCCGAGATAGATAAACTCAAACGTCAGTTACAGAGTACAAGGTGAGTCATAGAGGGATGTAACAGACTGACAACCGAGATAGATTAAATCAAACATCAGTTTCAGAGTACAAGGTGAGTAATAGAGGAATGTAACAGACTGAAGGCTGAGAAAGATAAACTCAAATTGTCATTGTAAATGTATCTCAGTTTATTTCACTGCATTTGTTATTTTATCCATTTCTTCAATCCTGATTTCAGAGTGATTGATGTATCTGTGAAGACAAACAATAGCTGGCAATGTATTCATGTTTCTGTTTTAGGCTATTCTAGGAATAAACTATTTTAGATTTTGAAAAATTTCAATATTTTGAAATTGTAGGTCAGATTCTTCCTCAGGTGCTGCACAGTCTCAATCTCAGTCAAGAGAAGTCAGTGGTCACTTTGTGCCGGACAAAACCATCAAAATCTGGGAGGTGAGATAGTGAAACACTCATCATTAAAGCACCTACTGTTAAAAATTTTATTTAATAGTCTTGGCAATATACCGTATAGCAGGTTTTCTTGGTGGGTGTAAAATTTGGCATTTTGCCTGCTTAAATTTAAGCGTAATTTATTTTGGTGGAAACAGGGTTTTAGCTCTTTGCAGATAAACACTAAAAATAGTAGTGAATATTTTAGGGATTAAAATTTCAGCGGACTACCATCAAAACACCAAAATTAGCACCCCGCTAAAATAATCTGCTATACAGTACTTTATATGTTTGTCAATAAATATTATATTGACAACATTCTTCCTTCTTCATTATAACAGTTAAGAAACTTGAATATGAATTTTAAGAATTATTGATTATGATCTATCTTTGCAGGCTGGTAACTGTCGTGTGATGTCGTACACTCCCTCCCTGGCCACACTTGTTGTCTCCCAGCCGTCCTCCAGTCCCCTTTTTCCCGGATTTGGCTTCAAAAAGGCAAGAATTCATTTAATTTTGGCCAGTCAGTTGTAAAATGCAAAAAGGGCCTACCTGTACTAATTTAATATTCTTATTTAATTCATTTCCAGATTAGCACTATGGATTTTAAAACCTCACAGTACCTGACTATTCACAGTAAGGCAATCCGAGACTGTTGCTTTCATCCATTTGTGGATGATGGAATCTTGCTGAGCTGTGGATTGGATAAGACGGCTAAAATGACAAGTGTCATCAGCAACACAGTCGTCCAGACGTAAGAAGTGATCAACCAGATCATTATTTGTAATTATGGGGTCAGGGAATTAGAAGGGGGATATTTTTATTCTTTAAGGTTCATTATACCCCCTGCAAACAAAGTTTGGGGGGGTATATAGGAATCACCTTGTCCGTCTGTCTGTCCGTCTGTCTGTCTGTCCGTGTTTACGAGAGTGCATTTATTGGGTATTTTTCATGCCAAGATTGTACTTATTGGGTACTTTTTGCTTATTGGGTATACCCAATAAGAAGTGTCGCTGAATATGCTTAAAACACCCTAATTGGGTATTTGCAAGTTAGTACCCAACAAAACTTGGACACGACTATTTGTCCAAAAAAGTGTCCAAAAAAGTTGCTTTCACGGACGCACCGTGTTTTGTTGTTTCAGTTTTACATTCGGAACTCTAAATTCTCGAGAGTTCCGAAAATCAACTTCCGTTGATCTTGATCATAACAACGTTTGTTTTCATGGGAAAAAATATGGCGACTAAGAAACACTTAATGTCAACAAGATTTTCTGATTGACAAGAGAAAAGGTAAGTTTATTCGATTAATATTTATCCATTGCTGGGTTCTTGTTTAAGGAAAATAGATTTTAATGTAATTTTGAAAACAATTGTGCACAAAATTAAAATAGATATATCGGAACAATTAATCCTAAGTTGCAACTTGTTTGTATTTTGAATTTTCTCTGTCTTTTTAACTCTCTTGAGGGCGAGAAGTATTTAGTAAATGATCGTATATTGTTAGATAATCTTTAATAAATCGAAAGTGTTTATTATTTAATTTTATATCATAACCAACTATAAGTATGTTCCGACAATGTATATTGGAAAGGGAAATGAAAATTTTAACAATCGTGTGTTCATAAATCAGCTGTAAATTATCGGTTCATGTAGACAGTATTACAATCGCAAAGTGAGCTGAGATGATGATAAATGGGATAATTGACAACAACTAAATAATTGTATGTAAGTTTATCTCATCTAATATGTAAGAGATTCATTGTATTACTGAAAAACGTTCAGTCAAAACAGTGCTTCTTTCTGTCTTTGATTTTGACTGAGTGTCTGCTTTATTTTGATTTTTTAAAAAATTATTGTTTTTGTCATTTGTTTTAATTAATTTAAAACCAATACTGAAATTGATATAGGGCTACTATAACTATTTCACATGATGGGTGTGTAATTAGCATTGCGCTACACCTGGGGCTTCCATTTTTGAGGATGGGCCTAGTGGTTTTCTGCACTGAGGAATCCCCTTGGGCTATTAGGAATTTTAAAATACACATGTAATAGATGAAAAGCACCACCGGTATTTTCACTCTTTTTTGCTATTAAATTCCCTAATATGGAAATATTCCAGACAGCATGCTCATATTATCCATAAATCTCCACAACTGCATCCATTTTGCAGTACTACAAGACTGATTTACTTAAAAACGATCTTTTATTTCCTAATTTGAATTCCCCCCTTTCCTTTGTTTAATATAGCAATATTGGCTTGTACATAAATGCCTCACAGATATCTCATTATTAAATTATATACATTCACTAAATCAGCTCAATGATAAGTGTCATGCAATTATGTAGCGTTTTTTAAAGCCATGGCGTAACTGATCAAAAAATATATTTTTGAAAAATACAAAATTAAGTGAAGAAATATAGTTAATACATTTAAATTAAAGCTTTTCATACAATTCGGAGCACGGAGAACACCCCGTTTTATCTAATAATACGATTTTATCTTCTCTGTAATGTGTTATTTAAATCTTTTGTATTTTCTTCCAAGTCGGAGAAAATTCCGAGAATCCAAATTAAATTTTGATATCTTTATAACGCAATTGACTTAGATTTTGTAATTTACGGAAAATTTCTATCTTTATCATGTTTATATAAAGTAATGATACAAATAATAAGTTCTTATAATTTTAGTCTAATAATTTTCATTTTACATACGCCATATATGGCTTTAAATGATTCAAGATGAAAACAAAATGATTTTTGCTTCGTTTTAATTAGACGAACTAGTGAATGACCAGAAAAGGAATATTTAAAATCTTTTTTTCATTTTTTTAAATCATTAATTTATATATGATTAAATTTTATTAGCGAAAATTAAATTAAACTTTAATTTTAAAAAGAATCATCTGTAGTTAATACCCTGCAGGGCCCGTTTCATCAAAGGTTGTACACCCAGTCGTAGCGCTACGCCGGCGTAAAGTCGGGACTAGCACGAATATTTGCATTTCATTAAAGAGTGTATCGTTACGCCTGACTAAATTTAGGCCAAAATTTTACGTCTACTCATGGGTAGGCGTAAGTTAGGGCGTAAAGTTAAAATAAGGCCTTTTTATTAATTTCGGCGAGTTCTAAAGAAAAAGTAAGGTTCTAAGAAGAATTTGAAATACAAACAATACATTATTTAATTATGCATATTATGAAGAAGGGGAGGGGGGGGGGGTGTTGTTACAACCACTTGGGGACGTAGTTGATTTGAGTAATAATATACTCAAATAATATTTTGATAAATTTCTGCTGAGAAGAAAAGATTGTCTTATTAGAGATTTCTTACGTTTTGACAATGCATTCATACACATTTGATTGTGGTATTGTATGTCTAAGGTATTGTAAATCAATTTACATATATAGCTGTATTTCTACACCCCGCTTGAAAAGCGGGACGGTACATGTATATGTACATGTATATACTATTTAGTAATCGGGATGTCCGTCCGTCCATCTGTTACGCTTTGGGGGTACCCATCTCTATCCGCAACTCCTTTCATATCACTGATTGAAATTTGGTGAAATTTTCACAGAATCTTTATCATATATTGCCATTGTGCCTTATTGTACTTTCTGACACATATTTTTGGTTTCCCGCAGAAAAACACATGGACACTGCCATTATATTTATATGGAAGGCGGGGGATATCTTTTATTGAACTCATTGCTTACGGTACCTCTAGTTTCTTTTTCATTTACTAAAAAGAGACCCATTAAAATTGTCTATTTTGAAAAATATTTTCCAACAGCATATTTTCTGAAAAACAAAAATTACAAAAAAAAAAAAAAAAAAAAATCGGTTTCAAAAGCATAGTTATCATCTTTCATGTAATTTTCTACATTTAAGAAAAATATTCAAAAAAATAACCCATCTTAAAACCAAATAGTTTTTGTCATGTTTGAAGAGTCCATTTCTTATTTACTTCTCGTCCACATGCGTGGATCCAGAGGGGGTCGGAGAGAGGGTTCAGAATCTCACGAATTTGCAGATTAATTAACATTGAATGTACAGATTACTTAGTTAAGGACGAAAGTAATTATTTTCCTAGGTATCTGGGACAAGTGATGTTCCCGGCGAATCATAGACCCCAACCCAGGGAGGGGGTTGGGGTCTCATAGACAATAAGAGATTTTTGAAAGTGGTAATAAATTATTGCTTTTATAATATCGATGTAAGACGGTGATAATTACACAGTTAAGTTCAAGAATGAATTATTCTTAATTTTTTTTCTCAGACAAACATTGATGCAGAAGACATCTTTAATTTTCATAATTTTTTTAAAAGAGCAAATCTTACATAGTATAAGATAATCTGAGCGCATATAAAGCACATATAAGATGAAAATATACATGTTTTTTATTTCCTGCATTACTTACATTTTAATGAAAACAAAATAAAGAGTAGTTGTAACTAAATTTTAACACCACACAAGCACAGAGAATTTTTGCAAGAATATCTTTGTAGTCATTTTTCCAACCCCCCCTCTCTCTCTCTCTCTCAATTATGAATCAATTGAATTGACAAAAAATTTATAAATACAGAGAGGATTATCTTACATGTACCATAGTAGTAAACGTGTAAAATTTATTTCTTGACTCAAAATGTGTTCATTTGTAAACCGTTTGCATTTTGTTTTCATTATTTTTGCTTGCATATACATTTCTTATTAAAGTTTTTAAATCTTATTCTGTCTCAAACTTAATTATTAGTATTTGTCAGTAGAATCAGTATTTATCGAATCATGAAATTTATTATCAAAGGCGAAGTTATTAACCTGTATCAATTTCGGGAAGAGGGGGTATGGCTGTAATTAAATTTCCAAAATGAATAGTTTTGCTTAATTCCCAAATACAACCTTTCAATTTATTAGACTTTTATTATTGAAATATTGTAAAAAAAAAAAAAAAACTAAAATTGGTTTCTTAAAAGATGCATGTCTCTTACATAACACTATAAACCCATGCATGTTTCAATTAGTGCAAGTATTAATTTATCTATAACTTGTGTTATTCTGTACTTTGACGTGCTACAATTTATACATGTTTGTACGCTCTGGGCAATGTTTATGTTTTTGCGCCTGTGCAATGCAACATTGTCAATGACTTAGCCCTGTGACTAATCGTATCTTTTACGGCTAGACTTACGCCACATGGTGAAACGCAAATTACGCCCGACTAAATTTTGGCGTAATCCCCGGAAGTACGCCTAAGTTAAGGCTTAACTTTATGACTTTTGATGAAATGGACCCACTTTTTTCACGATGAACTTTTTTTCAATGTTACTTTTTAATTTTTGCCTCTATATTTGGGCTTGTCACTTTTTACTCGGGGATAGTAACTTTATTGCCACAAAGCTGTGGATTAGTACTTGATTTCCTTTATTGCACAGCGATGACTATGATTTAATAGCACAAAAAGCTAATGGGTTTACGTATGTGAATTGATATGATTAATGCTTACTAGTGATTTTAGGATAACTGGAGATAATGATTTCTTTTTTCCACTGATATTACATAAATATTTTCCTAAGTATTATGTTACAATAAATTGGTTTAGATTTTTTTTTTATAAAAGTAATCAATAACTAGTTCTAATTGTAACGGGGACCGTTACAGATGTTCCCCAAACGCTCCCCAACTCCCTTTTTGTGCAAATTTCCTTTAAAACTTTTTTCAATATGCTTAGTATCGCAGGATTTCATAAAAAAAAATTTAAAAGCTACAATGATATCAACTTTTTGTCATTTAACGCATTGTTCGCAAACGCACGTGCATGCACATGCAAGGTGATCATGACATGTTATCTAAACCATTAGCATATCTTTATATTCCAGAAATCAATAAAAAGTCATAAAAATATAAATTTTACCGTTTTTCAAACATAGTGTTCATTTTACGCATTGCGTGTGCGCATGTGCATGCAAGCACGTCCTTGCATTCAATTTTGATAACAATATCATGTAGGAATCCATAATACCTATTCATATTCTAAACTTCATCATGTTTTGTTGAGAAACAAGAAAGATATAGGCATGTAAAGTTTCAGCCAATCAGATTGCAGCACACATGGATTTATGTGCTTTCATGATAATTCTTATATATCATGCGGTAGATCTTCATAATATGTGACTAAGTTCAAAATTTCAAAGGATTATGACGTAAAACAAGAAAGATTTTGAGACTTTAGTTTCAGCCAATCAGAGCAAAGCGCACGTGCATGCGCGTAAGATCTTGCAATTTTGACCATGTCATCTTGTCCATACTACTACTATATTCATGCATTGTGAGTTTCAAAAAATTCCATCAAGAAATAGAAAAGTTACGGCTTCATCCATTATCTTGGTAATTTCACATGTTGCACGTGCGCGCTCTTGCCAGCACACGCGCATGTACGTGCTTTCATGAAAATTATTATATATCATGCTGTAGATCTTCATGTTGTGTGACTAAGTTCAAAATTTCAAAGGATTATGACGAAAAACAAGAAAGATATTGAGACTTTAGTTTCAGCCAATCAGAGCGAAGCGCACGTGCATGCGCGTGAGATCTTGCTATTTTGACCATGTCAACACGTCTATACTACTAATACATACTTATATTATGAGTATCAAAGTATATAATCAAAAAATAGAAAAGTTACGGCTGTATCTATTATTTTGGTCATTTCACGCGTTGCACGTGCATGCTCTTGCAAGCACGTGCGCGCAAAATGACCTTCGTTCCGCAAATCTACATAACATGCCTACTAACCCTAAAAAGGTTTCACCTAAGTCGGACGTGTAGTTTACAAGATCATTCGCGGAAAAGATTTTCCCAGGAAGAAGAAAAATAATAATAATAATAATAATAATAAGAAACAGAGTAAAACAATATGTTCCCCAACTTCGTTTGGGGAACATAATTACAATGAAAATTAAAACCATAATCATGTTCATTGAGGATTTTCAATATGTAACAGGTCAAACAGGAACTTCAATTGTGAACATTGCAGAGAACACACCCATCAGAAGATGACCCTCAGAAATAGGACAATTGTAAGTAATCAGTAAAATGAACAGGAATACTTCATGCCAACCATAAGATTTTTAGAGACATTTTCGCTTCTTAAATTAGAAGAGATGAAGGAAAAACTTGTACATACTACATAACTACTAGGCAATCAACCTTTAACTGCAGGAAAACTTTTGGTATGTGCAATACAGCTACATAAAACCTCTTTAGTATTCATGTTAAGTTTGAGAAAGTACCTTAGTATTTTTTTTAGCTCACCTCAACGAAGTTGGGGGGAGCTTATGTGATACCCTCGGCGTCGGCGTCGGTGTCGGCGTCGGCGTCCCGGGTTAAGGTTAAGTTTTTTGGAGCAGTTTTCTTTTTAAGTACTTCTATGTCCTATATTGATTAGACATGCATGGAAGATGTTGCTAGTGTGTTTCATTGTACCAGTCAAAGTTTCAGATGCTGCAATTTCAGCAAAGGAATGACCAGGTTAATGTTTTTGGTGCAGGTTAACATTTTTGGTGCAGTTTTTGGTGTAGGTCTCATTTCCGAGTAACTATAAGCCCTATGTTGACCAAACTTACATGGATGATACATCTTAGGATGCATACTACCAGCCTTGCTTCAGATGCTGAATCTGACCTACATTTTCCGGTTGAGTGAACAGGTTAAAGTTTTTGGTGAAGGTTTCATTTCGAAGATACTTTGAGCCCTATGATGACCAAACTTGCATGGATGGTACATCTTAGGATGTATTCTACTAGACTTGCTTCGGATGCTGAATCTGACCTACATTTTCCGGTTGAGTGAACAGGTTAAAGTTTTTGGTGCAGGTTTCATTTCCAAGTTACTATGAGACATATAATGACCAAACTTACATGGATGATACATCTTAGGATGGATACTACCAGCCTTGCTTCGGATGATGAATCTGACCTACATTTTCCGGTTGAGTGAACAGGTTAAAGTTTTTGGTGAAGGTTTCATTTCGAAGATACTTTGAGCCCTATAATGACCAAACTTGCATGGATGGTACATCTTAGGATGTATTCTACTAGACTTGCTTCGGATGCTGAATCTGATCTACATTTTCCGGTTGAGTGAACAGGTTAAAGTTTTTGGTGCAGGTTTCATTTCCAAGTTACTATGAGACATATAATGACCAAACTTACATGGATGATACATCTTAGGATGCATACTACCAGCCTTGCTTCGGATGATGAATCTGACCTACATTTTCTGGTTGAGTGAACAGGTTAAAGTTTTTGGTGAAGGTTTCATTTTCAAGGTACAGTGTACTATGAACCCTATAATGACTAAATTGCATGGATGGTACATCTTAGGATGCATACTACCAGACTTGCTTCGGATGCTGAATCTGACCTACATTTTCTGGACGAGTAAACAGGTTAAAGTTTATGGTGCAGGATTCATTTCCAAGTAACTTTGAGCCCTATAATGACCAAACTTGCATGGATGGTACATCTAAGGGTGCATTCTACTAGGCTGGCTTCGGATGCTGAATCTGACCTACATTTTCTGGATTAGTGGAAAGGTTAATTATTTTATACAGGTTTCATTTGCAAGTAACTTTAAGCCCTATGTTGACCAAACTTGCATGGATGATACATCTTAGGATGCACACAAATGGACTTGCTTCAGATGCTGAATTCGACATACATTTTCCAGATAATAGACCTCGTAAAAGATATGGGTGCAAGTCTATCACCAAGAAACTATAAGGCTTATATAAACCAGTTGCTTAAATGATGCATCAATGGATGAAAACTCTCAATCTTGCTTCAGATGCTGGATTTTAATTACATTTTCATGATGAAGAACTAGTTTTTAGTTTTTATATAGGTCTATTCCAAAGTATCAAAATTGCATAAATTTTGCATTTTTGGATGTACACTTTTTGTTGGTTAATTGTGTGACTTAATTTGCCTTACTTAAAGACAACACACGTTGAGGTGAGCTCTGTAATCTCTGATTACCTATGTTTAGTGTTTGCCAACATTTTCATGCACACTGTTTGCTTGTTTGTACTATCATTTTATTTTAAATTCTTCAGATGCCCTTTACCTTTGCCAGTTTAGAATCATTTGTTTTAAGGGCATCTGAGGGTTGGTTCCAGAACTTAATTAATTGTAAAGTAAATACTGGGGTACTATACGGTCATAGGTTATGTTAATACATGTATAACATTTTGTTCTGATGGAGGTGGCATACAGGAAAAGAAACAATACTAGATATCACTTCAAAGGAATAAAACAGCTTCATCTTGTAGGTGTATTTTATTTAAGGATCACTACTTCATGTCTGATGTGCTGAAAGTTATTCATAATCTGTTTGACTGTAATTTTTCATATTTTCAACTTCTATCCAGCTTAGTCAATTTTAATTAAATTTTGTGCAAAGCATACCCCAGGAAGGGGGATGGAGTGTCAAGTGTGTCTCTGTCCCTGTCAATATAATTTCAAAGCAGTTAGTAAGGTTTGGGTCAATTTTAGATCCTCTTTAGCAGAACCATTGGGCTAAAAACAATACTAATGTGAAAGCTTTATCATTAAGTGTAGAGATGTTTTTGAAGATTATGTACCCCTAATGTACTGATAGTGTTACATTAGAAGTCTAAAATTTGCAAAGAATAGGTGTAAAATCTTCTTAACAATCAGAAACTAACATACTGTCTAATTAATATGCAACATCGTTTTGTGTCTTGAATGATGATTTTGATAAAATTATGGCGGATGGGGGTTAGGATGAAGATGCAGTTAGACATAGAAGAAAAAAAAAGAGTTGATAGAATTTAGTTTTTCTTCCATTTTATTTATCAATACATAAGAAATATACTTCTACTTCTTGGTTGGGTTTGATCAACATAAAGGGTGATCTTGCTGTAGTCAAGAAAAACATGTTTTATACGGCAAAGAAATGCCTTTATCTAATTGCAGAATGAATAAAATGGACAGAGGCAGAAGTGAAGAAGATGCATGAAATGAGGAATATTTCAAAGATTGCCTGAGCATAACCACTGCTACTGGATAAACATATGGCAATATAAAAGAGCAGGGTCAATGGAGGTATCATACAGTATAGGCCATGAGAGACCCTGAAGAAGAAAGTATTGAACAGAAACAAAAATAAAACCATTTTGACATTTATTGAAACATAGGATCAAAGTCTTACATGTAAAATT